CTGTTGATGGACACTTAGGCTCTTTCCATGTTTTAGCTATTGTGGAGAGTGCTGCTATGAACATTGGGGTACATGTGCTCCTATGCCTCAGCATTTCTGTATCCCTTGGGTAAATTCCTAGCAGTGCTATTGCTGGGTCATAAGGGAGTTCTATTGTTAGTTTCCTGAGGAACCTCCACACTGTTTTCCAGAGGGGCTGTACCAGTTTACATTCCCACCAACAGTGCAGGAGGGTGCCCGTTTCTCCACATCCTCGCCAGCATCTAGAGTTCTCTGATTTGCTCATTTTAGCCACTCTGACTGGCGTGAGGTGGTATCTCAGTGTGGTTTTGATTTGTATTTCCCTGATGAGGAGGGATGCTGAGCATCGTTTCATGTGTCTGTTGGCCATCTGGATGTCCTCTTTGGAGAAGTGTCTGTTCATGTCTTCTGCCCATTTCTTCACTGGGTTGTTTGTTTTTCGGGCGTGGAGTTTGGTGAGTTCCTTATAGATTCTGGATATTAACCCTTTATCTGATATGTCATTTGCAACTATCTTTTCCCATTCCGTTGGTTGCCTATTAATTTTCTGGGTTGTTTCCTTGGCTGTGCAGAAGCTTTTAATCTTGATGAGGTCCCAACAGTTTATTTTTGCTCTCGATTCCCTTGCTTTTGGGGATGTGTCAAGTAAGAAGTTGCTGCGGTGGAGGTCAAGGAGGTTGTTTCCTGCTTTCTCCTCTAGGGTGTTGATAGTTTCCTGTCTCACGTTCAGGTCCTTTATCCATTTTGAGTTGATTTTTGTGCATGGTGTGAGAAAATGATCTAGTTTCATTCTTCTGCATGTTGCTGTCCAGTTCTCCCAACACCATCTGTTAAAAAGGCTGTCTTTTTTCCATTGGATATTCTTTCCTGCTTTGTCAAAGATCAGTTGGCTGTATACTTTTGGGTCCACTTCTGAGTTCTCAATTCTGTTCCATTGGTCTATGGGTCTGTTTTTGTGCCAATACCATACTGTCTTGAGGATGACAGCTTTGTAGTAGAGGCTGAAGTCTGGGATGGTGATACCTCCCGTTTTGGTTTTATTTTTCAGTATTACTTTGGCTATTCGGGGTCTTTTGTGGTTCCATACAAATTTTTGGATAGTTTGTTCTAGTTTTGAGAAGTATGCTGGTGCAATTTTGATTGGAATTGCATTGAATGTGTAGAGTGCTTTAGGTAGTAATGACATCTTAACTATATTTATTCTTCCTATCCATGAGCATGGAATGTTTTTCCATTTCTTTGTGTCTTCTTCAATTTCCTTCATAAGTTTTCTATAGTTTTCATCATACAGATCTCTTGTATCCTTGGTTAGGTTTATTCCGAGGTATTTTATGGTTTTTTGTGCAATTGTGAAGGGGATCAGTTTCTTGATTTCTCTTTCTGTTGCTTCATTGTTGGTGTATAAAAATGCAACCGATTTCTGTACGTTGATTTTGTCAGTTTGTACTCTTTCAAAAACATCAAGGTCATAAAAAAAAGAAAAACTGAGGAAATGATCCACATCTAAAGAGATTAAAGGAACATGACAACTCTGTGCAACATGTGATTCTGGATTGAATCCCCATACCAGGAAAAAAAAAAAAAAAAAGGTTTTTATTTTACTATTAATGATGTCAGTGGGACAGTGGGCAAACTTTGAATAATGTCTGTAAAACAGATATCAGGATTATATCAGTACTGACTTCCTGATTTCAATAATCATACTGTGGTTATATAGGGGAATAGCTTTCTCTTAGAGATCTTTGTACAGGAAAGCATTAACACAGTAGGCCTGAGACTGGTTATCTTCACAAAGACTTGATTGCAAGGTTAGCTCCCTGACTGACATCTGGAAACTTGGCTGGTAAACTGTTCCCTACATGATGTAAAACTTTTTCTAAATGATAAGGATGTTCACTGTGCCAAACTGTTTGTACAAACAATGTGATTTATGCTGAGCCCCTGCATTCCTTTAGGAAGTCTGGAATTTTGCTCCACGACAGTTAGAGGGTGACTAGTAACCATCCCCCAGTGAAAACCTTAGGCACTGAGTCTCTAATGAGCTTCCCTGGTAGACAACATGTCACCTGTGTTGTCACAATTCATTGCTGGAGAGATTAAATGCATCCTGTGCAACTCCACTGGTAGAGGACTCTTAGAGGCTTGTGCCTGGTTTCCTCTGGACTTCGGCCCATGTCCCTTTTCCCTCTGCTCAGGGGAGGTGGGCAGCCTAAGGAGGTCTGTGCATGGATTTCTCAAGATTCCATCTGGGTCCTTTGTTCTGAGTGAGCCTACCATGGCTCTATCCTTTCACTGTAATAAACCTTAGCTAGGAGTACCACTATATACTAAATCTCGTAAGTCCTCCTACTGAATCACCTGACTGGGGGATGGTCTTGAGGACCCCTGACACAAATACACACACACACACACATACACGCATGCACATAGAGAGAGAGAGAGAGAGAGAGAGAGGGAGAGAAATGATAAAGGAAAGTGGCAAAAATGTTAACATAGGAACATCCCAATAAAGGGTATAAAACTTCTCTGTAAATCTGAAATTATTTCACAATAAAAATTTTGTCATGGGAAATGAAACCAAATCTGTATCCTAAGTGGATACATTGCTTACGGCTAAAGGTGTATCTACTTCCACGTTCCCTCTGAGAACATACATGGGAAATACACACACATAGTTCTCTTTCTCTGACTGTCTTATCTAAAATCGTGAGATCATCTTGTTACCTCCAATTCCAAATCAGGTCTTCAGGGTACATTCTTGTCTCCATCCATATTTATTTATTTATTTCTTAACTTTTTAAAATGTTTGTTTATTTCTGAGAGAGAGAGAGAGACAGAGTGCAAGCAGGGGGAGGGCAGAGAGCAATGGAGACACAGAATCTGAAGCAGGCTCCAGGCTCTGAGTTGTCAGCACAGAGCCCAATGCGGGACTTGAACCCACCAACCATGAGATCATGACCTGAGCCGAAGTCCGATGTTTAATCGATTAAGCCACCCAGGCACCTCCCTCCATCCATATTTATACCTTCCTTCTTAGATCTGTAATTCTGTTTGCAAGTAACCTAGCTGCCATTATACTAATATATTTGTTTCCTGAAGCCTAGATCACACAAAGAGATGTAGGGAATTGTTAAGCCACACCTCTACAAGAGAAAATCTATTTACTAGAGTCCAATATTTATTTATAGGCATTTTATTATTTTTTAAAAATGTTTTATTTATTTCTAGGAGAGAGAGAGAGACAGTGTGAGCAGGGGAGGGCCAGAGAGAGAGGGAGTCACAGACTGAAACAGGCTCCAGGCTCTGAGCTGGCAGTCAACACAGAGCCCGACGCGGGGCTCAAACCCACGAACCGCGAGATCATGACCTAAGCGAAAGTCGGTCACTTAACCAACTAAGGCACCCAGGCGCCCCTATTTATAGGCATTTTAAAGGTAAAATTTCCAGACAGCAAGATTCACAAGTCAAAATTTATAGCATCCTGACAAATGATGAATATACCCCTATCAAGATATGGACTGTTTACCAGAAATTTCCCTCCTCCCTCTTTTAGTCAATCCCTTGCTCCATGGGGCAATTACTGTTCTGAGTTGTTTTGGGGGGGCACGTGGATATTCAATTGGTCCGTCATTTGTTGAAAATATTGCTCATTCTGCATTGCCTTTGCATCTTTTTCAAAAGTCAATTGCCCATATGTGTGTAGGTCTATTTCTGGAGTTTCTGTTCTCTTTCATTGATATATGGTGCTGTCTTGACCCCAATACCACAATGTCTTGATTAATATAACTTTACAATAAATCTTGAAGTCAGGAAGTCCTCCAAATTTGTTGTTGCTTTTCTAAGTTGCTGGGTTTTTTTTCTAGAAATAGCTACAATTTTATTTGTTTTTGAGGGTGAGAGAGTACAAGTGAGCGAGGGGCAGAGAGAGAGAGGAGAGAGAGTGTGGAACCTAAAGCAGGGCTCAAGATCACCCCATGCAGGGATGGAGCTCACTGACCAGACCCGGGAGATCATGACCTGAGTGGAAGTTGGATGCTTAACCAACTTGTGGCAGGGTCCCCTCCCTAAGGAAAGAAAAACAAAAACAAAAACAAAAACAACAACCTCAAGGCAACCTGGCTATATGCATATAGGACAACATACCTCACGACCTTGTAACATGAGACCACTTAATCAGACCACTTAATCAGTTTGTGTGTTACCGTACAGGGGAGACAAAGAAGTAAAAATATATAAAATACTACACCACATGGCATTCAGGGCTCAGTTCTTTGAATATGAACTCAACTGAGCTGTGCTGGCAGGAATAAAGTTGCTTCCTGGAGAGAAGAGCCTCGGTGTCACGACTCTCTATGCCAGAATCCTGCTACATTACTTGGGGGCTCTCATCAGGGATTCGTAGACAGTGTGTTTCCACCTCCTTTGCCACCAGAGTTGCGAACCTCAGGGCGTTGGGAGAGGTGGCTCACCTGGCACTAGTGGACCGCTTGATCTGCAGGAAACTAGCCCTCCTGGCATGCTGGGGCAAGGACCCTGTGTGTACTAACAGAACCCATGAGACCCAGGGAGCGCCCGTCAGACTGGTAAGAACCAGGGTTGGTTTTGGTAGACCTGCCCGTAATAGGCAGAAGGAGAGCCTGATCACCTCCCAGAGTGGCACTAGTAAGTCCACAAGGGAAGAGGAACGAAGCTGCAAGTCTGAGGTGCTAGGCGACAGGTTGGAGTCGCCGTGTGACTGTGTATGGGAACTTGTCTCTTGTTCATTTCCTGGGTCAACGACTGTGATAATTAGAGCCAACTATCTCTGGTTAGTCTACCCCAGAACAGGGACTTTATGGAATATTCCCAAGCAGCTGCTGAAACTCCTTGTGTTTTCAGGGAAATTCCCTATCTTCTCTGGACTGACATGAACTGCCTAATTCTACTGGTTGAAAACAAAACAAATAAAACCAGAAATTCTCTTTCTCTGCCTTCTGCAGGACCTCGTCTCTTCTGCCTTTCCTTCCCTCCCTCCCGCTTCTGTACCACCTGGGGTACAGCCTACATAACTGGCTCCTCAATGCTTCAGGCACCATCAGCTCTTCCTCCCACCCTAGATGTTGAGGAACGAAGACCACCAACATCAGATTTCCCCACCAACGTTCCAGGTAAAAATGAACCATGGGGAACAAATTGTCTTATGTGGACACAAGTAAAACGTATTCAATGTTTAAGCTAATTTAAGTTTGTTGGTTTGAGATAGACAATGTTTATCAACATTAAAAAAATCTTTTATTCTACCTAGATTTGCTGATGGTCAATTAGACTCATGTTATCTCTGTTCCAATTTGTTAACAAAAGGATGACTTAAAGTGATGATTAATTTTGTCTGTCTCAAAGTTTTCATGGGTAATTATTAAGATAACTTTCAAAGTCTTTGGTAACCTAAAAGTTAAAGTTTGCTTCCATGATAAATTGAGATTGAATTCATTGGATATCTAACAAGATAAGAGGCTAAAGCACTGATTACTAGATGTAGGTTTGTGTTTCTGACTTGTTGCAGAAAAAAAAATAAGGATATTTGGAACTGTTGAAAAACATGCTTTGTGCTTAATGGATTCATAAGTTTGTGTCTAAAAAATTCTGATGTAACACAGAGTTCACAATTGGTTACTACTTAGTTTTCACTGGAGACTAAAGTTTCCAAGAGTTAAAATTCTGCTACATGTAGTTAAAACTGATAAAAATAAGAAAAGCAACCCTGGGGGCCCCTGGGTAGCCCAGTAGGTTAAGCGTCTGACTTCAGCTCAAGTCATGATCTCGTGGTTCGTGGGTTCGAGCCCCACATCGGGCTCTGTGCTGACATCTAGTTCAGAGCTTGGAGCCTGTCTTCAGATTCTGTGTCTCCCTCTCTCTCTGGCCCTCCCCTGCTCATGCTGTCTCTCTCTTTCTCTCTCTCTCAAAAATAAATAAAACATTAAAAAAAAAAAGCAACCCTGTATGTAGAAAAGTAGGAGATATAAAAGAAAGATATAAGAAATGGAAATATATTTTTGTCGAAGGTAAAAGAAAGTAATTTTGTCCTAAATGAGATTGGTTATTTGGGGGAAAAATGGCTTGGGACAAAATCTAAATGCAAAGAAAAGTTGTAGAAGGTTCGTGAAGGAAAATCTTTAAAAAGAAATTTTTTGTGTGGTCAGGATGGACTAAAGTTAAAATAAATGGATTTTTTTAAATTTTTTTTAATGTTTTATTTATTTGTAGGAGAGAGAGAGACAGCATGAGCAGGGGAGGGTCAGAGAGAGAGGGAGTCACAGACTGAAACAGGCTCCAGGCTCTGAGCTGGCAGTCAGCACAGAGCCCGACGCGGGGCTCGAACCCACGAACCGTGAGATCATGACCTAAGCGAAAGCCGGACGCTCAACTGACTAAGCCACCCAGGCGCCCCTAAAATAAATGGATTTTTAAAAGTACACAAGGTTAAGATTAAAATTCCTCCTCCTTTGATCCAAAGGCTGAGAAAATTATGGCAATACCCTTGGTGTTGGCCTCAAAATCCTCCACATTTGTGTTGTTCTTGTTTAGCAGAGAAATGGATGCCTCTGCCATATGAGGGATGGATGACATATAAAGGGCTTTTACTAAGATACATGGGAGGCATTTTACTAAATTTAGCCCATCGTATGCCAAAAATGTACGTCCACAGGGCTGAAACACATTTATGTGGGCATTGTTGAAAAAGGCACGGGAATAGACCTTCTTGACCTTGGCTCTTTAATCCCTTTCCTCACTGACCAATGATCAACATGTACGTTACTGTTAGACCAAAATAAAATTAGTGCAGCTTACGACAACCAAGAAAAATCTTGCTTGGTCACAGTCCGTACCCCAAGGTCCTACAGGTGAAGTGGAGCTGTTAAAAACAAACAAACAAACCAAAGAAGACAATATCTATTTGTATGGATTAATACTTCTACTAATTGGGTAGAGGTCTTCCCCTACAAGACAGACAAGGCACAAAAAGTAATAAGAATTCTGCTTTATAAAATAATACCCAGGTTTGGCTTACCTAAAACTTTACAAATTAATAATGGTAAATGGCTGCCTTGACTCTTTCTCTAGTAGAACTCTTGGCTCTTGAAAAAGTTTTAACACCTCAAAAAAAAGTAGACTGTCTGCTTAGACTCAGCAAAACTCTAAATCACACCTCACAAGCATTAGATGCTCAAAAAAATTTTTTTTAATTAAGTTTGGGCCAAACTCGCGGAAATAGAGCCACCATTGATTACTTACTGCTCCTGCTTCTCCATCACCTGGGTTATGAGAGATTCCCTGACATATGTTGTTTACAAAGCCAGGGTCTCCCCTAGATTATTTGACAGATTTGGAAACTGTAGACATTATCTTAAGATGCCATCTTCTTGGTCAGTAAAATCTTTGTGTTTTTCTCTTTGTGCCTGCTAATGTTTATGCTGCCTCATGCCTGCCAGCCTTCCTGTAAAACCATACTGTGGGCCACTCGACCGACCCTTGGGTAGACTCTAACTGCTGTATGCCCACACTGTCCCTTATCAGCTTGAAGAAGCCAGAACGGTCATCGTTTGTTCCCTAATAGCAGTTACAGGCCCTATTCCGGGGGAGAAATAAGTAAGGAAAGGGTTAACATTAGGCGGGGAGAGATAAAGGACCTTCAGGGAGGCAGACTGCAGCTACAAGTGGGAGACTAAAGAAGCAGATGGGGTTCTCCCCTTATAAAATCCTTTATGGGCACCCTCCCCCCATTATCAGGGGCGTAAGGAGGGAATCTAAATGAGATAGACAATCTAACCCTAAAACAACAGATGCAGACCCTTGGCTTTACCCTAACCACCTTTCACCACTGGGTCAGGGAGCGATTACTTGTAAATCTGACCACAGACCCTCGCCCCTTTAAACTCAGAGATGTAATATGGATACAGGAATGAAAGTCCGACCCATAAAACCCTTCTGGAGGGGCCGGTTCACTCTCATTTTGTCCACCCCTACTGCAGTAAAGGTAGCTGAAGTGGGTCCCTGGGTTCACTACTGCAGAGTGAAGCTGGCATCTCAAAACTGAGAGTGCATTCCTGATCCATCAACGCCATGCAAGCTGACCATACGGAAGAAGCAATCCTCACCTCCAGAGGCTCCGGGAGACTGAAGCCCTGCTTTAGTCACTCTGGAAGCTGACTAATCTACCCACGGCAGACAGTCCAATGAAACCAAAGACTGTCCTCATTTTGTCTGTTTCTCTACTGTGATGCACTGTCACGTCTAATTTCTCACTATTATTGTGATTCTTGCTCTACTCTTTGCCATGGGATTGGCCGAGGCTGCCCTGGCAGCCTGGAAATGTGGTGAGAGGTTTCTGTTAACACTCACCTTCCTTTTGTGGTTAGGATACTTTGTTGGTACCAACATGGGAAAACAATGGCCATAAGAGACTAAAAAAATTAGATCCCCACAAACCTTATAGAAAAACAAAATACCCCAGTCCTACTATGGGGGTTTGGCTTCTCAAAGGTTCAATTATTGGGAAAATCTGTCTTGCCTAGTGGGAAAAAAGTTCATCATTGTCTCTGTTAAAAACTTAACATGCCACAGTGCCTGAGTGGCTCAGTTGGTTGAGTGTCCGACTTTGGCTCAGGTCATGATCTCGCTGTTTGTGAGTTTGAGTCCCGCGTGGGGCTCTGTGCTGACAGCTCAGAGCCTGGAGCCTACTTCAGATTCTGTGTCTCCCTCTCTCAGATCCTCCTCCACTCGCACTCTGTCTCTGTCTCTCTCTCTCAAAAATAAACATTAAAAAAAAACTTAAAAAAAACTTAGGGGCACCTGGGTGGCTCAGTCGATTGAGCGTCCGACTTTGGCTCAGGTCATGATCTCACGGTTCATGGATTCGAGCCCTGAGTCAGGCTCTGTGCTGACAGCTAGCTCAGAGCCTGGAGCCTGCTTCAGATTCTGTGTCTCCCTAGTTCTCTGACCCTCCCCCTGCTTACGCTATCTCTCTCTCTCTCTCAGAAATAAATAAAACATTAAAAAATTAAAAAACAACTTAACATGCCTAAGCCAAAGATTTTATAACTCAACTGCCCGCAATGGTTTTCAACTCTCAGGGGATTCAAAACCCTCATGGGAATTATCCTCCTAATTTTAGGAGAGTGCTTAGTCTTACCCTGCTTAGCTCCCCCTGCTTGTATGGTCTGCCTCCGGTCTCACTGAGGCCATAATTTAAAAAAAAGACAGCCACTCATGCAATGATCTTATAAAATATAAACCTCTAAACCAAGATGGTGCTCTTTGACCCTAAATAGGGGGGTCCGAGCATCAAAGAGGGAATGGGGTAGGGTCCCCTCCCTAAGGAAAGAAAAAGAAAAACCTCAAGGCAACCTGGCTATATGCATACATGACAATATCCCTCATGACCTTGTAACACGAGACCACTTAATCAGACTGCATGTTTGTGTGTTAACACATGGAGAGACAAAGAAGTAAAAATTATATTAAAAACTACGCCACGTGGTGTTCGGGGCTCAGTTCTTTGGGTATGAACCCAACTGTCAGTGCTGGCAGAAATAAAGTTGCTTCCTAGAAAGAAAAGCCTCCGTGTCACGACTCTCTGTGCCAGAATCCTGCTACACACTGAGCCACCCAGGCGCCCTTAATTTTTTTCAAGTTTATTATTATTCTTTTTACTAATTCCTGCATCCAACGTAGGGCTTGAGCTCATTGACCCTGAGATTGAGTTGCACGCTTTTCCAACTGAGCCAGCCAGGTCCCCCTCTAAGCCATTTTGGTCCTTTTTATTTCCATATGAATTTGAGAATCTGCTTGTCATTTATACAAAACAAAACATGCTAGGATTTTGACTGACATTGCATTGAATCTATAAATTAACCTTGAGAGAATTGACATCTTATTATAATGAGTTTTCTGATCCATGAACCTGGTGTATCTCTCTATTTAAATTCTTAATTTCTCTCAGCAAAGCTTTGTACTCAGTGTTCAGTTCTCGTACGTGTACTTCCATATTTTTGATGCCATAATGAATGTCACTTTATTTTTATTTTTTTGAGAGAAAGAGGGCACAAGTGAGCGAAGTGCAGAGAGAGAGGGGATTCCCATGAGGGGCAGAGAGAGAGAGAGAGAGAGA